ACCCTTAGGGGAAGAGTCAACCCAGGAAGTTCGACCGAGATGTGCTTCTGAAATTCTTCAGCTCGAGGCCGGCGGAGATCGCCTGGCGATGGACGGAGATCTTTGGAGAGTTCCTTACTGGCTCTAGAGTTCCCCTAAACCCTAAACCCTAAACCCTAAACTAGGGTGGAGGTAGCATAGGGTCATTTAAGGAGGCACATGGCTATATAGGAATATGTAGGCTTCGTGCGTAGGAATTCCTAGGGTTCAGGGTGTTGATCCACTCCCCCAACCCTAAACCCGAAATGATAGTAGTAGCTTCCAGCGTCTCGACCATTACCCCTCCGTATCCCCATACGACTTTTTGTATGTCTATATGTAAATATATGCATATATACATATACACATACATATATATATATATATATATCCCCATACATCCGTTGGACGAAACGGAGTACTTCATTTCCGGGAATGAATTGGTACCATTTTGAAGTTCCCGACGGAGGAGCCTACTAAAGCCTGTGCTAGGAGTCTAGGGGTGAAAGGGGTTGCCATTGCTTTACCTCCTTGGGACTTCGCTTGGACCTTAGACCTTTAACCCCTTGAGATTCCCTTCTACTCCTACTATAGGTACCTAAGGGTTAACCCTTAGTAGGGGGCCTAAGTGCCACGTAGTTACATGCGCTTTCACCACCTTCCAGTTCCCACGTTCACTTACTCGAAGGGTCCAAGTATCATCTGAATTGTGCATACTTTGGCCCAAAAGGATGCGCTCAGGAGGTTTCTTTGGGACCTGAGGATATACTGCATCTTTTACCATAGCCCCAGACTCCATGTCGTTGTCCATGGTCTTTTCAAGTTGAGTCTCCATCTTAGTTAATGTTGCCCACCAACCCTAATCCTAGCCCTAAACCCTAAAACCCTTAAACCCTAAAACCCTAAACCCTAAAACCTTAAAACCCTAAACCCTAAAACCCTAAAACCCTAAACCCTAAAGCCTAAACCTCCAAGACCTACAATTAGATCCTTTGGCTGAAGCACCTTTGAGGCTCTGGCCTGCGTGGAACCTTTGGCATGAGGAGGATGGGGCCTGTTTCGGGTCTAGGTCTTGGGGCGGTTTAGGGCCTTTGAAGGCTTACCGGGTATAGGGTTTAGGGTATAGGGTTTAGGGTTTAGGGAGAGAGAGGGAGAGAGAGAGAGAGAGAGCCATGGTGACTCAAAGTCTCCACCCTCCTTTTGGGAGAGTCGTCTCGCAGGTATCGAAGGCGGCGCCAGGTCAGATGACAGGCACTCTGCCCTACTTTTGGAGGGATGGGGAGATGATCAAGAAGAGGACATCACCATCAACAAATGTACCATCATCTTAGCACCTTAAAGGGGGGTTGTATAGGGGATTATACAGGGGACTATAGGGGTTATTAAGGGGGATACTAGGAATTTAGACAATGGCTCATATTAGGGAGTTCATGAGAAGAGCGAACCCGGCAATGCTGTTGGAAGACATGTTCGTACCTGGAATAAGACGGGGATGCTGCATCCTACCTATCAGGCTGCAAGATGGAGAGAGATGGAGAGATCACTCGCAACATATATCAGAGAATCATGCCAACCATCCATAAAGTCAAGGTCATGAAAGAAGAGTCCAGAGCAGTGGGCGCCCTAAACCCTAAACCCTAATGGAGAGAGCAGGGATCTTTGGATGGCCATCTCGCAGCCCGCCAGAACAGAGGCGAATGGCTTGCTTCCCGGGAAAGGTCAAGAGGCTTACCCTAAGGGTCCAAGGACCTAAATAATAGGGTTTTAGGGTCCAAATACCAATAATATCGGAGTATTTGGGCCCTAAAACCCTATTATTTGGGTCCTTGGACTTTTAGGGTTATCTTGTAGCTGGCTGAGGAGCACAAGAGTAAGGTCCCAGTCCAGGCGAAAGGGTCTGCAAGCCGAAGAGGCCTGGATGTTCCTCCTGTACATGAGAAGCTCTTCTGGTTTAATCGCTATCTGCAATGCATGGGTTACCTTAGTGTAGCACCATGTTGGAGCGGAAATGGAGCCAGAGGCTGCACTTTCTTTTCCCGCTGGTGGTGAGCCACATTTCGAGATGGGATAGATTTGTAAGCACGAGCCCTTGATGGTGTGCAATGGATGTGGCTTGGCATCACTTGGTATTTCGGACCTCCTGGGTGGGACTTGACCTCATGCGGACCGCTGCGGCTCGGGGTTGTGCCTCGGGGGGGTAGTACCCCCTACAGCCAGCAGGAAGATGAGGAAGAAGAAGAGAGAGAGAGAGAGAGAGAGAGATGTACATGCAGGAATGTGTGGGGTATGATGTTCCGAATATATGGGAAGATGTAAATATTTGAGGTTTAGGGTTTAGGGGTCGGTTTAGGGTTAGGGCATGGAGTTGAGGGTTTGCCCCCCGTGCTTATATAAGGGTCCTATAGGTGTTCTAAAAATATACATATGGGTTAGGTTTAGGGTTTAGAGCTTAGGGTCCGGGGTGTAGCGGTTGGGGCTTCCAGGCTTGATGCCATAAGGCCTAGAATATTATTCGGATCACTTTTACTGTTGCCATTATTAGTCTTGTTGGTATCGCGAAAGGTTTCTAAGGGCTCCAGACAGAGATGTCAATACCCGTACACATCCCTATCCTCCCCACGGCATCCCTCAGCACGACCCATGACCCCTAAACCCTGAAACTCTCTGAAACCCCCAAACCTAGAGCCTACCCCTTAGCCACAGGTGGTTTAGGGCTTAGGGTTTAGAAGTTAGGGATTGAGGGCTTGGGGTTTAGGTTTTAGAGTTTGGGCGTTTAGGGTTTGGGGTTTAGGGTAAACCTAACCCCTTAAGAGAGGAAGAGCTTCCCCCTGGGCAGCGGACCAGAGGCGCCGTGTTGCGCACGGCGCTTTCGAAGCTTGCTATAGGACATATATAGGATTTAAGGAAGCATGTAGGGTTTAAGGGTGTATATAGGCCGCAGGAGTTATAGGATTTTGGGTTCAGGAATGGACGAGCAAGTGTCAAATAACATGGAGACCTTTTCAGGAGCTTGCTCAAAACATTTGGGGATTAAGGGTTGAGGCTTTGCTTGCTGGTTGTTAGCACGGGGTGATTGAACGGCAAAACACATGGAAACTACTATTTAGGGTTGAGGGTTTACAGAATGGAAAAAAAAGTGGTAACTGAAACATTCTCTTGAGGATTGTATAGAAGCTACTACTGGAGTCCGTTCCTCCATTCCCTACTAAATCCTTACTGGTCGTAAGTAGGAGTAAGGGAATACAAGCCCTGTACATTCCCTACATGTTATCTTCCCTTATTCTCTACTAACCCCCGTAAGAACCAGTAAGGAAGTTGGGTCCCGTCTTTGTGAAGATCGGCCAGACGCTGTCACTGGGATGTCCAGGCAAGAAGTCTTTGCTTATTAGAAGCTGAGACGTGTTTGGTTTTATAGCTGTGTAGGAAATACGCTCCCCAATAAAGAGCCTGACAGTACTTAGCCAATAGAAGAACTCTAATCTTTTTGGGCTTCCTTTTTGGGTCTCCATAATAAAGCTTAAGTTTTTTTAGCCCTGGCTATTGTGGAAGACAGCCCTAAAGCCTAAACCTTATGTATATATATATATACCCTATATTAAGCCCTTCTATTACCCTATATACCCCAACCCTAAACCCTAAACCCTAAACCCTAAACCCAAACAACCCTAAACCCAAACAACCCTATAGCATAGGTCTGAGAGACCGGACCTCATTGGGGACGAGGCCTGTGAGGAGCTAAAGTTGCTTCAGCAAGAGAACGAGCCCTTCAGCACAGATCCCTACCTGTCCATTGGGGGTAGGGCTTAGGATTTAAGGTTTAAGGTTTAGGATTCAAAGTGTAGGGTTAGGAGGTTAGGGCTTAGGATTTAGCACGTTTTTTCTTTTTACTTTGGGGCCGGTTCATACACGCCCAAAACCAGCCAAAAGGTAAGACTCGGAAACGCCCTGCGTGCTGGGGACCCTAAGCCCTAAACCTCAAAGGATCTCGCCTTTGAGATGATCCTGGAAGACCTGAACCACAAGGGGCCACTAGTGCCTTGGGTGGATCAGCACAACATGTCCTGTGCGTTTCGCTGTTTCATCCTGACCAATTTCGAAGGGCTTAGGGTTTAAGATTCAGGGCTTAGGATTTAGGGTCTAGGGTTTAGCATCTAGGGTTTAGCATCTAGGGTTTAGGGTGTTGGATTTAGGGTTGAAGGTCATTTTAAAAAAGCAAAGGAGCCTCCCAAATTCCGAGCCCTAAATCCAAGATCTGAGCTGAGCTCTTGTAGAACAAAATTTACATGTTTATGGATACCTGGGCCCAAATATCAATAAACAAAAAAAAGATCTTTTTTAATTGTATTTCAACAAGAACCCAGTGAGCCTGCGGGTCCTTAACCAAAGAGGCTGAGCCTCAAATCCCAAACCCTGCGCCTTGGTTTAGGCATCCTACTCCCTAAATCCCGAACCCCAGATCCTAAACACCTAAGCCCTAAATCCTAAACCCTAAATCCGCACTAAATCCTAAACCCTAAATCCTGAACCCTAAGTCCTAAGCCCTGAATCCTAGATCCCAAGCCCTTAGGTACCCAATGGCCACACCAGCGAAGATGGAGATCCCACCGGCCCGCCACTCTTTGCGGAGATCTCCCCGCAGCCAATAGCGGCAGCCTCCTTGGGCCAGGTGGGGGCGCACAGCCTAGGATCCAGGTAGGGTTAGGGGATTAGGGACAAGGGTTTAGGAAGTAGGGTTTAGGGATTGAGGTTTAGGGTTTAGGGTTCAGGGTTGCTTTTGTTGTTTCTGCTCTTATTTTGGCAAGTGTTATTTTAATGCTTTTTACACCTCGTTCTATAAAAGCGATAATCATTGCTACTACTATCTTATAAATCGAGAATAGGATCCCCTTAAAGGGGTCCACGCATGTGCTTGTCTTATTACGTATAATTGTGGGGTTTAGGGTCTAAGGGCTAGGGGTTAAGGTTCAGGGTTTATACCTGAGGAATCCGTGCCCTCTAGAACGGGGTTACAGGGCGACATGTACAGGGGCGATACAGAAGAACATGGAAGCTACTACTTCGGGCTTACTCGAAGGGTCCAAGGACCCAAATAATATGGTTTTAGGGCCCAAATACTATAATATTCTTAGTGCTTGGGCCCTAAAACCCTGTTATCCCAATTATTAACCTACCTACTGAGTCCCACAGACCCTCAGTACTGATCATTGTGTGAAAGACAAACTTAGCAAATAGAAGAACTTTAACCTTTCGGGCTTCCTGTTTGGGCCTCTACAATAAAGCTTAAGCTTTTTTAGCCCCGGTTATTGGGGAAGAGAGGTACTCATTGTGTGAAAGAAAAACGCAGGTGTACTACGCCAAGACATGGGATGGCCGCGAAGTCGCCGTGAAGGTTCAGAGGCCTGGTAGCTTGCGCCAGGTGCCATGGCTTTCAACGGTTGTGGGTTTTTCAAGGGATAGGAACCAAAATAGTTTGGCTTTCAAATGGTTTTGAGGTTTTCAGGGGATAGGAACCAAAATAGTTTGGCTTTCAAATGGTTTTGGGGTTTTCAAAGGATAGGAACCAAAATGTTAATCAGTAATCAGTGTATACTCCAATAGTAACTTGTCCGCACAGAACCCATAACTAGCCCATGCTAAGGTATAATCGTCCCCCATAAGGTCCCCTGACTTCATAATCCATGCTTTTGATTAATAAGGCCTCCTAGATTTGTAGGATAAAGATGTTTATGTTTAAAGGCGGAGTCATTATTGAGTCAAAACCCTAGATTTACAGAAATTTGTTTCCAAACCCTAGGAGCAATAGAAGGACGTTTACCGGGCTTTTATTTGATTTTGAATCGGCTTTGATGTGTTTACAAATATTTCAAGTCAGGTGTTAGTTTAGTTCTTCATTATTTTTAGAAGCTTGCTTTGGAGACTCGCTTACTTGGCTGCTCTGAAAAGAAAAAGAGCCAAGCTGAGTTTTACGGCCGGTTTGCTTACCAAAGTTTATTAGGAATCAAATTCTCAAACATTAATCGGCTTAGGGTTTTAGGGGTTTTGGGTTTAGGGTTTCAGGGGTTTAGGTTGGGTCATTCCCCCACCTAGTAACTGTCCTTAAAGGGGGCCTTATTAAGGGGCTACTACAACTCCTAATACCCCTTGTGGTAACTGTTACTGTAAGGGGGGATAACCCTAGATTTAGGGTTTAGGGCTTCCTGAGCCACCCCTTACGGAGCTGGCGTGACAGGGTCTCTCTCATGTATAGACAAGTGAGAACCTCATAGAAGAATAGACGCATTAACTATAGAAAGGATTCTACTCACATCGCAGTAGCATTCCGCTTGATATGGATTTGACTCCAGGATTGAGGCTTTTGCCTGACAGTTTCAGGTCTACAATCTGAGGTTGTATTATCATTAAAGTTTTTTACTAATGCATTTTACTGTAATTTCAATTGGTTGCAATTGATTTCAAATAGAATTATTTAATCCATCAGGTTTTTCTTTGATGTCAATGAGATTTCTGTTTCTTACAAATTCGGTTTAAATTAGATTTGACTAGAGGAATGTGGCAGATGTCATTGGATGCTCTATTAGATGTTAATTGAACTTAGATGGATTTCAACTGATTATATTTCGATTTTACTCTGACTTCAAAGAGTTTTTGGTTTATATTTCAAGAAGTTCTTAGTTCATGAATTTCAACCTGTTGGATATTTCTAAAGTAAATTTGAATTCATGTTTGTCACACATATGCATTGGGGGGGGGGGGGCCTCTAGCAAGGATGCTTTGGAGCATTTTTCAGATGCTTCTTATATGGTCACTCCTCATTACAGAGCGAACGCACCAGAAACAAGTTTCAGGCAAAAAAACATGTAGACAACGAGAAGCAACACCACGGGTTCGCCTACTACGCACCCCCTATACTACCCCATTATAGTTCCCCTTTGATTAACCTGAATCAGGCCTAGCTATTCTTTCCTAAGCGTTATTTAACTGTTATTAAGGAGGGAACCTGGGGATAGTGTAGGGGGGGCAGTGGGGGAACCCATGACAACCCCAAGCCCTAAATCTTAGATCCAAATCCCTAAACCCTAAACCTTAGATCCTCATCCCTAAACCCTACTCCCTGAACCCTATAAACCTTAGATCCTAATCCCTCAACCCCCTTATCCCTAAACCCTAAACCCTCACCCAGGTAGCTATAGTCTAAACTCTTCAAACGGGGGTGATATAGGGGATTAGGGGACTACTATAGGGGTTATAAAGGGGGATACTAGGAGTTTAGACAATGACCCAGGTGGCCCTTGACTGGACTTGTTGGGCTCTCGGGCTGATGGTCATGGACATCTACTGGGGCGGCCAAGGTGATGCTGGGTTGCTGTTGAGGAACTTAGGGTTTAGGGCTTAGGGTTAAGTTACCATTCTTGGAGGGTCAGGGGGACTTAGCAAGTAGCTTGGTAAAAAAAAATAGCCCAGATATGCCCAGATAATAACCCAAGTTATCCCCATCATTAACCTGTTGATTACGTCTCCCTGACCCTCCAAGTATTATGTGTAGGGTTTAGGGTTTAGGGTCAAGTACTACTATAAGGACAGCCCCCTATCTCTTACATAACCATATTATGGTAATTTAATTCAGTTCTTTATCCCCAAACCCTAAATCCTAAACCCTAAACCCTAAATCCTTAACCCTAAACCCTAAATCCTAAACCCTAAACCTTTATCAGCAACCCAGGATGAGTATCCCAAGATCGCTGATGAGGTTGCCATGGGTGTGTTCAAAGAGTTAGACTACCACAATGAAGCCAGCAACCTGCCTGTCCAGTTGGTACCTTCTGGGGTAATCCACCCCCCCTAATGTTAAACCCCCCCACCCCCGCCCCTCCATAGTATTGAGCATTCCCCATCTTGTGAGTATTTTATATTAGGAGGGTGGGGGCGGTTGTAATATTAGGAAGGTTAACCTTGGAGAGCCCTAGATACTGGACACCCAAATGGATCCTTATAGCAGTTTCTCTAGGCCTGTAGGATCCACAACACACGACCCCTGGAAGCACCCCTGGACACCCAAGCACTCCTTGGGACTTAGCTTGGACCTTAGACCCTTAACCCTTTGAGATTCCTCTATACTCCTATTATAGGTACCTAAGGGTTAACCCTTAGTAGGGACGTAGGGCCCTGAAGTCAGGAAATGCCGAGCTCTTCCTCAAGAAGCACAAGTTCTTGCCTTTCGTCACAGCTCCACAGTGGGTGCCTGAGTTTACGGGACCGGAGGGCACCGCGAGAGTTCTGACGCTGGAGTCTGGGCTGTTGTTAAGGCACTTAAGCTAAGCCACCATGACGGCCTCCCTTCAAATTATTCATGGGGTCTATAAGGGGTTATGCGTGGTCTAGGGTTATGTTACTATACTTAAATTATGTGGTTTCCTTGTTGTGGTAACATGATTCGGGGTCCTAATCAGCCACCTGAACCCTGAACCCTGATGCCCTAAACCTTAAACCCAGGAGTGGATCCATGGACGCAAGCTCCAAGACTTGGAAACTGAGGAGGAGAAGATGCACATGGTTGACATGGCAGTAGAAGCCCGCCCACAATTTTTAGGGTTTGGGGACCTTATCTTGCTTAGCCAATAGAAGAGCTTTAGCCTTTTTGGGGCTTCCTTTTTGAGCCTCTACAATAAAGCTTAAACTTTTGTAGCCCTGGCTTTTTTGGGAAGAGAGTTATTGTTGTGGATGATGAAGGCTTATCATGCATTATTTGTCGACATGGCATTAGAAGCCTGCCTGTGTAGGGAGAATTGTCGACCTCTTCGGGGGTGATGTGAAGCCTGAGACCCTGAATCATAGGATTACCCTTCCCCCCCATCAATATGCGCGTTTTTGGGGTGGGTTTATGGTTTAGGCGAAACCCTCAACCTGAAACCATGCGGCTACATAGTAACATGTTACGTTATACTTCCAAATAGTACCCGACAATCCTGAACAAGGCCCTCCATTTGTGGTGGCCCATGGACTAGGGGGCCCTAAACCCTAAACCCTCCATGTATGAAGCCTGCGTCTCATCTTCTTCGACGGTCTTGGGGGCAATACGAGACCCTACACCCTAAGTAGGTAGGATATGGGGTGTATACTGGGATAATGGAAAAGAAAATGGAAACTATTAGTTTGGGTTTAGGGTTTGGGGTATATAGTCCCCCTAAAGTAGCTAGAACATGGTACATGGGGATCTTAGTGCCATGTTGGGCAATTCCATATTCGATCCTCTTGAGGGGGACTAGAAACCCCTAAGCCTAAGGAAGCCTGTGTCTCGTCCTTGGTCTTCACTGGTTTCGTCCATGCGGATCCTCACGCGGGGAACATGCTTTTGACAGACGCTGGGTTGCCTTTATGGAACTTGAATTAAGTGCCAAGAACCTGACTTCCTCTTAGTAGTAGTTTTACTCAAGCCTGGGGGTCCAAGTAGCCAAAGAATATGGTACAAGGTTTTTGGGCTTAGCGTTATATGGCTTTAGGTTCCCTAACTCAGTATTTGGGTACTTGGACCCTCAGGGTACCAGCAACTCAGGACGATGGCCGTCTAGCTTTTCTGGATTTTGGTCTCATGGGAACTGTCGAGCCGAAAATCATGGAGGGGTTGCTGGGCTGCTGTTAAGGAAAATGATTTAAGCTTTAGGGTTGAGGGTATATAGGGTTTAGGGCCTGAGGGTTTAGAGATATAAGTTACCATAACATGGGTATGTAGTAAATAATAGAGTTTAGGTAATAGTGACTATAAGGGATAATAGGGATTGTATTAGGGTCGGCTTATATTTCTATTATACCACTATTACAGGGTGGGGGGTCCTCCTAAAATAGAGTTTCCTTCTTGTAGCAACTTGGTTCCTTAAGAGCAACCCAGGTTCGCGGCGGGGATCCAGCATTTGTTGGCAGAGCGTTGGCTCCCACTTGCAAAGGTTCCAGGGGCTACCCTTTTAGTCCCCCTTAAGTAGATAGAATATTAGGGTCATATTGGGGTTATATTGTGAAAATGGAAAATAAAATGGAAACTACTATATTATGTAGGGTTATAGTCCCCCTTAAGTAGATAGAATATGGGGTATATTGGGATTGAATTATAATATGCCCAAAGCCAGATTCTATCTACTTAAGGGGGTTTACCCTTGACTGTACTTGCAGGGTCAGGGAGACGTAGATAAGTAGGTTAATGGTCCTTATAGCCCATGTTGTAACCCTACTTATACCCATTATGAAGCCACTTGCTAAGTCCCCCTGACTCTCCAAATAAACCCAACGGCTTGGAGCCCATTCAAGTTGCCCCCTGTTCCCCGAATAGAACCACATGACCCAGATGTTCCTTTAGAGTCCCCCCTTAGGGGAACCCCGGCCCCCTAAGCCCTGAACCCTAAACCCTGCACCCTAAACCCCGAACTCTAAATCCTGAGCCCTAAACCCGGAACTCTAAACCCTAAACCTTGAACCCAAACCCTAAACCTTGAACCCCAAACCCTCAACCTTGAACCCAGAACCCTAAACCTTGAACCCTAAACCCTAAAAGGTGATGCAGGATGTGGGCTTCATGGCCGAAGCGGAGGGAGGGGGCTTCAAGAAGGTCATCGACCCAACAGCTCCTGGGTTGTTGTAAGTAAGGGTTTAGGGCTTGGGGTTTAGGGTTTAGGGCCGTCTTGCTGCGCGCCGGCCGGAGGTAGTATGTAGAAATGGCGCCCCGCGACACCCAGGGGTGTGGGGGGGCGGCATGTCTTGCGACGGCACATCTTTCGTGCCCAACAAACCAAGGTTTGGTGTGTTGCTTTAATTCTTCCCACCCCCTGCTTACGCAGGCATCCGCCCAACTTTATTCCTTTTCGGGTTTCGGGCTGACGCCCCAAATTCCCACTTTTTCCGGAACTCGTTTGCTGCTTTGATCATGACAGCATGCCTGCTGCTAAGGTACCGAAGCGCAGCCGAGCGCACTGCAGCAAAACGGCCGACGCAAGGTTCCGTCAGACCTCCGAGGTCCTGGCACAAGGCATGCAAGACGCAACGGCACAACAAGCATAAATTTGCAGGCACAGGTCCTGCCCTTGCGAAGAAGCGTGGTGAGGCGAAAACAGGAATCCTACTATGGCTCAGGCGTGGAGGTCTTGACCCAAATGAGGTTTGAGCCCCGGCAGCAGGATACCGATCGTAGATTCGCTCGACCTGCTGTGGTGTCACGTCTCCAGTTACCAAGAAACAAGGCCTCTGCAACTCTGGCGATGAGTGGTGACTGCAGGCCGATGCACACGCCTCACTGCCTTTTTAGCACCGCAAAGCACATGCTGTTAAGAACAAGCTTCAAAAACCTGCCACACGCTGGCCGTGCAGCTGTGCTCACGGTGCTCAGGCGGGGGTGAAATGATGCCGAGTGAGGTACCCGACAAAGCGCCAGTGCTTGTCGTAGCGCACACGGGAGAGCGCCACGTAACCTGCAGCCGGGATGTTTGGTACATCCAGGTACAGGGTCATGCTGTCCAAAGTCGCTCCTTGCAGCTTAGTCAGGGTGCTTGCATACCCTAATCGCATTGGGTGGTAGGTACTTCGGAACTCAGCATCCGTCCAGGAGTAGACCACCACAATGAAGCCAGTGTCCGTCCTCACACGCACGCCGCCTTGCTGCAGCCCAAGGATTGTGGGGCCCATGCCGTTGACGTAATCCATCTCCTTATGGATGTTTCTGGTCAACTGGATGCGGGCGCCGACAAAGATCGGG